GCAGCATCAGAGGAGCAGGAAGGCTGACGTTTCGGGTCCGGACCCTTCTTCAGAAATGAAGAAGGGTCCAGACCCGAAATGTCAGCCTTCCTGCTCGGCCTGCTGCGTTCATCCAGCTCTACACCTTGTTATCCATTTTTAAGGATGACAGGTCATGTGGTCACGTAGGGAAAGAAATCTAACGAGGTATTGGCCTAGTGGTATTATCCTGTTAATCCAGGGACCCAAGAAATATTCTGGGGGCCTGTGTTTGAATCATGCCACAACAGATGGTGGAACCTAAATTTAAGTAGATATTGGGAATTAATGAAACCATTCCTGTCTGGATTCACTAATGTCCTTCAGGGAAGGAAATAAAGGCTTGGAATTGGCCCTAGGGAACTCCTTTCTGATCCATTATATAGGGGAAAATGGTGGCCTTTTGATGTCACTGGTCTAGTGACAGGGTTCAATGTGAGGCTGGGTTGCATGTGTGGGGTTGTGGTGTAGGGTTAGGCATGAGCAAATTCTAGAAAGATGTTGTTTGTTGGAACCATAAACATTTAAATTCAGCAAAATCCATTCCAAAGCAATAAATCAGCCACTTAAGAGCATTTAAAGTGCTAAATAGTAGACCTAGTTAATAGAACCTTTTTTTTTCTTTTTTTGATTATCAAGAACTCCAGCTAGAGAGCTGGGCTGTCTTGCACTCTTCTCTGGGGCAATTAGAGATGATGGGCAACATTTTAGTGTTTTTTTTTTCATTAATCCTGTTTTGCATTCTTCCCTTTTTTTTCAGATTTATACAGAGAAGGATAAAAGCTTAAAATGATGCACTATAATGAGGTGTGTAAATAATTCATTATTCAACATAGAGGTCTTTGTTAGAGTGTTTTAATGATGACACTATACAGACTAGAGTTACTGAATTACTACCTCTGTTGATCACACAGTGCTCTGAACACTCAGATCACCTGATGTGTATATTTTGCAGCTAATACTGAATGAATTGTTCTGAGTCTGTATTCCTTTTTATAAGTTGCAGGAAACCAAGCCAGACATGCTATCTTCCTGTGACTACAGCAGAAGTGAGAGAAAGTGTGAACAACTTCCTTTTGTGAAGCTATCATTGCCTGCAGCAGGCCAGTCAGCTTGTGCAGTCCTGCTACTTGGTAGATTTCTTTCTTGGAGTTGAGGGGTTAAGCTGTATTTGGGTTGAGTGTTTTTTGAGATTTTTATTATCTGTACCCGTAATAAAGTCAGCCTGATGGTGTTGTTACCTTTATTCAAAGTTGCATTCTTTCTTTTACCCAGTGTGGTTAGTGTTCTTTTTCCCTCAGCACATATCTTTTAGAATTATAGAATCCCTACTGGGTGAAAGCAGGCCATCAAGTCCACACTGACCCTCTGAACAGCATTCCTACCCTATGCCTTTGCATTTTCCTGTGACTAACACATCTCTGGACACTATGACAATGCTAAATTACCCAAACTGCACATCTTGTGGAGTGCAGATGGTGAGAATATCCCAACTCCATATAGTCATCTGAGGCTGGAATTGAACCCAGGTTCCTGGTGCTATGAGGCAGTAGTGCTAGCCACTTTGCTACCCATCTGACCGTCGCTGAAAAGTAACAGGGGGACACTTTTTTTCCCCAAATTCTCATGAGCTGTGCCCAAGGCTGCCAAGTGGTTGCACCCACCCAACTGACTAAATTGTTAGATGATTGTTCTGTCCATTCTGACCATCTCCAAGGTAAGACAAGAGGAGGGCCTTAGAATTAAATTAAAGCAATAAAGTGAAAAAGATGAAAAATTCCTGGTGTTTGTTTTTGAGTAATACTCTTAAAGTGATAGATCAGAACTGAAAAGAAAACACAGCAAGTTAGCAGAGTTTTTGCTAGGTGAGGCTATTTAAAGGTTATAGATGAGGGTTAAGATGCAGAGCTGCAGCAAATAGCCTCCTCTTGTTCCTCCCCATGGAGGGAGGTGTGGCATAGGTATATGTTGCAAAATTAGTAATCCAACGTAATGCTCTCAAGAACACTTTATTTCATGGGTCTATGCTTATAGACCTCTGTCTTTTGAGGTATGTGGAGTCAAAATAAACATGATTTTTCCATGTTTACAAATTCTCCCAACAATTGCTGTCCCTTGTTCTGACTTTCAGGTCAAGAATGTTCTGCATAGTTATTAACTCCTTTTTGGCAAAAACAAAAAAGCCCTGATACAATTTTGTTGCCAACACACCAATGTCTACCTAAGGAATGGATTTGACATGAGTATGACAATTTGTTCCGTCATGTCTGATGTACTGCAATGACCTGTTGAATACCTGTGCACGTTATTTTTCTAGAGCCTCTGGAAGTGTTGCAGCATTTTAATAGAGAACTACACAACCATTCAGTGCTGATCATATGTACTGAACCTGTGGCCATTTATGTCTGGAAGGAACCTGAACTGGAGTAACCACATTGTCTGACAATTCACTGCACATTTCATTCCTCCATTTAAGTGATTTCAGAAATAATTTCAAATGCATAATTTATTCACCAGGCCAATACAAGTTTGACAAGTAGAGAATTTTAAACAAGCAGCGCTGAAGAGCTCTTGCTTGACTCCAATTTCAAATCTTAACAACTTAGGTGAAAAATCATAGCTTTACTTGATGCTTGCCAGTGTATTATACAGTGATAAATGACAGAAGAGTGAAAATCAGGATCATTTCTGTAAAGTTGAACAAGGTTAGCATTTGCACCTAGCATAGCTGGTGCACCACCAGTTGTGCTAGAAATTAGTTTTCTTTTTATTGGAATGTTTTTTTTTTTCAAGCTCCGTTTCTACCGCGTTGCCAAAGTCTTAGCAGACCATAGGACTGCTCTGTGTGTGTGTGTCTGAGAGAGAGATGACTGGTGGTGATTTAGCCTTAAGGGGAGAGGTTGAGAAGGAGTATCCTTCCTGCTAATGGGAATTGAACCCGCACAGTTGGCATCACTGCTTTGCAAATCAACTATGCAGCCAACTGGCACATCACACATTAGATCCTAGTATAGTTATGATTAGCATGTTTGCATAACCACTTCCACCCTGCAACGATAGGCCGTCTGGACCGAACTGAAACAGTGCAACAAGCTGCAAAGACTTTTAACAGCATACACTTCTGTCCAGCTATGCAGCTTCCAAAACTGGAAGTCATGCAGTAGCATAAAGATCAAAAGGCAGACAGTGAGGGAATGTGGGTAGTGAGATCAAATGTGATTGAACATAGAACAGTACAGGCCCTTCGGCCCACAATGTTGTGCCGAACTTTTACCCTAATCCTAAGATCTATGTTAACTTCCAACCCGTATACTATCATCCATATGCCTATCTAATAGCTGCTTAAATGCCCATAATGAGGCTGACTCCACTACCCTCTCCGGCAATGCATTCCACGCCCCGACACCCTTTGAGTAAAGAACCTACCTCTGACGTCTCCCCTATATCTACCTCCACTCACTTTAAAACTATGCCCCCTCATAATAGCTACCTCCACCCTAGGGAAAAAGTCTCTGGCTGTCCACTCTATACCTCCGATCATTTTGTACACCTCTATCAAGTCACCTCTCATCCTTCGTCGTTCTAGAAGAGAAAAGCCCTAGCTCTCTCAATCTTTCCTGGTAAGACCTTCCCTCTATTCCAGGCAACGTCCTGGTAAATCTCCTCTGCACCTTTTCCAACGCTTCCGCATCTTTCTTGTAATGAGGCGACCAGAACTGGACACAATACTCCATATGTGGCCAAGCCAGGCTTTTGTATAGCTGGAGCATAACTTCACGGCTCTTGAACTCAATCCATCTATTAATGAAAGCTAACACACCATACGCCTTCTTAACAACTCTATCCACCTGGGTGGCAGCTTTCAGGGAACTGTGGACATGAATCCCAAGATCCCCCTGCTCCTCCACACTGTCAAGAATCTTTCCGTTAACGCTGTATTCTGCTTTCAAGTTTGTCCTTCCAAAATGAATCATCTCACACTTTTCAGGGTTAAACTCCATCTGCCACTTCTCAGCCCAGCTCTGCATCCTATCAATGTCCTTTTGTAACCTAGAACAGCCCTCCGCACTGTCCACATCGCGACCCACCTTTGTATCGTCCGCAAACTTGCTAATCCACCCTTCCACTCCTACATCCAAATCATTTACAAAAATTACAAATAGGAGAGGACCCAGAACAGATCCTTGTAGTACACCACTCATAAATGAGCACCATATTTTTCATCCACTGCCACACTTTCTCTTCTAAGGGTCAGCCAATTCTAAATCCAATCTGCCTCATTTCCCCCTATCCCATGCCTCCTTACCTTCTGCATGAGCCTGCCACGGGGAACCTTATCAAACGCCTTACTTAAATCCATGTATACCACATTCACTGCTCTACCTTCATCCACGTGTTTGGTCACCTCTTCAAAGAATTCAATAAGGTTTGTGAGGCATGATCTACGCCTCACAAATCCATGCTGACTATCTCGAATCAAACTGTGCCTTTCCAAGTGATCATAAATCCTATCTCTCAGAGCCCTTTCCAATAATTTGCCCACCACTGACGTAAGACTAACTGGCCTGTAATTTCCGGGGTTATCCCTATTCCCTTTTTTGAACAAGGGAATGACATTTGCCTCCCTCCAATCTTCTGGCACTATACCCATGGACAGTGAGGACGAAAAGATCATCGCCAAAGGCCCTGCAATCTCTTCCCTCGCTTCCCATAGAATCCTTGGATAAATCCCATCAGGCCCAGGGGACTTATCTATCGTCAAGTTCCTCAAAATTCCTAGTACATCTTCCTTACTAACATTGACCTCCTCTAGCCTACCAGCCTGTTTCACACTGTCATCCTCTACAACTAGGTCCCTCAGTTGTGAATACCGAAGAAAAGTATTCATTAAGGACCTCTCCTATCTCTTTAGGCTCCGTGCACAAATTCCCTTTACAATCCTTGATCGGCCCTACCCTTTATCTGGTCATTCTCTTATTCCTCACATACGTGTAAAAAGCCTTGGAGTTTTCCTTGATCCTATCTGCCAAGGTTTTCTCATGCCCCCTTATAGCTCTCCGATTGAGTGCTGGGATCAACTGTGAGAGACATATGGGTGGGTAGTGGGATCAGGTGTAAGAGATTATTGAGATCAACAACTCAATTATGGTCTACATGTTGGAGATCAGGGAGATACAATCTGAAACAAAACACAGTCCCACGTGAGTCACCCGAGATAAAACATACAGTCCTGGGTGAGTAAGACACAATTTTGTGGGATAAGTTGCAGTCCAATACAGGACAAGGACAGCCCCCAGTAAAGTCACACGGATTGAGGCACAGTGCTAAGTGAGTCACAAGATACGGTATTATTACCTATTCACCACAGCCATTCCCCTCAACCCTGGTATATTCCTCATTTTCACTTTAGTCCCAAGGAATACAGAAAGGCTCCACTGGACAACTGGTTCAACCACCCACTGTACCACTTCAAATACTAGTGGGCCCTACTCCTGTCTGCTCATTTTGCTAGAATCATCTGGACATGCAAGGATAGCCTATAACTTTACCATTTTCTTAAACTATCTCCTCCAACTTCACCTCTAATAAGTGCATGGAGCTCATGTATTTTTTGTTAGTAAGATTGTGGTCACCCCTGCCACATCCTTCCCCTCTCTAGTCCACCTGATCAAACTTCCTTTAATGCTCCTCTCTGTATTTGAATCTTCTGATTTCCCTCTGGTTCCTCTTCTTGGCCTTTCTGAGCTTACCTCGCCAACAGGACCCACCTCCTGCTCCCTTAATCCTGTTCCCAGTATACTGCTGATAACCCAAAATGCCATCCTGAACATCCAAATCTGCTCCTGTTATAAAGATTCACTTTCCTCAAGTATGGCTCCTGCATTAAACCTGCTGCCATGATTTCTTGCTGTCCTTGTAAAATACTGCCCCATTTCCGAACGTCCTTTTCTCTCCAAAACCTTTGGACATGTTGACGCCTCCAAAATCTGTGCCTGAAATTCTTACGTTTGAATTTCTCCAACTGAGTTTCCACCTCTGCATGGTGCTGAGACAGATCAATTCAAAGTCACTAATCATAAGATATAGGATCAGAACTTGGCTGTTTGACCATTCAGTCTGTTACACCATTCATCGTGGCTGATGTGTTTCTCATTCCCATCCTCCTGTCTTCTCCCCACAACCCTCGATCCCCTTACTAATCAAGAACCTATCTATCTCTGTATATCTTAACCACCCTCTGAAGAA